CAACATCACACTTAACAGCAAGAAGCTGAAAGCTTTTCCTTTAAGATGAGGAAGAACAAGACAAGGATGTCCACTCTCCCCACTTTTATTCAACATAGTCCTGAAGGTCCTAACCACAGCAATAAGACAACACAAAGAAATAAAAGGCATCCAGATTGGCAAGGAAGAAGTTAAAATGTCCCTGTTTGCAGATGACATGATATTGTACATAAAAAACCCTAAAGAATCTACTCCAAAACTACTAGATCTAATATCTGAATTCAGTAAAGTTGCAGGATACAAAATTAATACACAGAAATCTGTTGCATTCCTATACACTAATGATGAACTAGCAAAAAGAGAAATCAGGAAAACAATTCCATTCACAATTGCATCAAAAAGAATAAAATACCTAGGAATAAACCTAACCAAGGAAGTGAAAGACCTACACTCTGAAAACTACAAGACACTCATGAGAGAAATTAAAGAAGATACCAATAAATCGAAACATCCCGTGCTCATGGATAGGAAGAATTAATACTGTCAAAATGGCCATCCTGTTGCCTAAAGCAATCTACAGATTCAATGCAATTCCTATCAAAATACCAACAGTATTCTTCAATGAACTAGAGCAAATAGCTCTAAAATTCATATGAAACCACAAAAGGCCCCAAATAGCCAAAGAAATTATGAGAAGGAAAAATAAAGTGGAGGGGATTATGCTCCCTGACTTCAAGCTCTACTACAAAGTCACAGTAATCAAGACAATTTGGTACTGGCATAAGAACAGACCCATAGACCAATGGAACAGACTAGAGAGCCCAGATATAAATCCAAGCATATATGCTCAATTAATATATGATAAAGGAGCCATGGATATACAATGGGGAAATGATAGCCTCTTCAACAGCTGGTGTTGGCAAAACTGGACAGCTACATGCAAGAGAATAAAACTGGATTACTGTCTAACCTCATACACAAAAGTAAATTCAAAATGGATCAAAGACCTGAATGTAAGTCATGAAACCATAAAACTCATAGAAAACATAGGCAAAAATCTCTTGAATATAAACATGAGCAACTTTTTCCTGGATGCATCTCCTTGGGCAAGGAAACCAAATAACAAATGAACAAATGGGACTACATCATGCTAAAAAGCTTCTGTACAGCAAAGGACACCACCAGCAGAAAAAAAAAAGCATTCTACAGTATGGAAGAATATATTTGTAAATGACATACCCGACAAGGGGTTAACATCCAAAATATATAAAGAACTCACATGTCTCAACACCTGAAGAGCAAATAACTCTATTAAAAAATGGGCAGAGGATATGAACAGCACTTCTCCAAAGAAGAAATTCAGATGGCCAACAGGCACATGAAAAGATGCTCCACATCGCTAATTATCAGGGAAATGCAAATTAAAACCACAGTGAGATATCACCTCACACCAGTTAGGATGACCAACATAGAAAAGACTAGGAACAACAAATGCTGGCGAGGATGCAGAGAAAGAGGAACCCTCCTACACTGCTGGTGGGAATATAAACTAGTTCAACTATTGTGGAAAGCAGTATGGAGGTTCCTCAAAAAACTCAAAATAGAAATACCATTTGACCCAGGAATTCCACTCCTAAGAATTTACCTCAGGAATGCAGGAGCCCAGTTTCAAAAAGACATATTCACCCCTATGTTTATTGCAGCACTATTTACAATAGCCAAGAAATGGAAGCAACCTAAGTGTCCATCAGTAGATGAATGGATAAAGAAGACGTGGTACATATACACAATGGAATATTATTCAGCCATCAGAATAAAACAAATCCTACCATTTGCAACAACATGGATGGAGCTAGAGGGTATTATGCTCAGTGAAATAAGCCAGACAGAGAACGACAAGTACCAAATGATTTCACTCACCTATGGAGCATAAGAACAAAGCAAAAACTGAAAAAACAAAACAGCAGCAGAATCACAGAACCCAAGAATGGACTAACAGTTACCAAAGGGAAAGGGACTGGGGAAGGTGGGTGGGAAGGGAGGGAGAAGGGGAATAAGGGGCATTATGATTAGCACACATAATGTAGGGGGCGGCACATGGGCAAGGCAGTATAGCACAGAGAAGACAGGTAGTGACTCTACAGCATCTTACTATGCTGATAGACAGTGACTGTAATGGGGTATGTGGTGGGGGACCTGATAACGGGGGGAATCTAGTAATAACCACAGTGTTGCTTATGTGATTGTTTATTAATAATACCAAAAAAAATCGAAACAAACTGAAAAGAAAAAGAGCACAGATATACAGAAAGCAAATAAGCACATGAAAAGATGTGTAATACCACTGGTCATTAGGGAAATGTAAATTATAACTACAATGAGGTATCACTACACCCCTATCAGAATGGCTAGAATTTTTTAGAAGTGTCAACACCAAATGCAGTGACTATGAGGAGGAACATGGCTGGTAGACCCACTCTGGAAAAGAGTAGTTTCTCAGAAAACTGAGCATATATCTTTGCCATAATATAACACACTGCACTCAAGTCACTGTTTTAGGACTTGGTGTTGGCAAACTTCCCTTGTAGGTCTCTTCTATTCTAACTCATACCTAGGAAAAACAGGTCTTGGGGCTTTCATCTAACCCAACTGGGGCCAGATCATTGACTTCCCCGTATTTCTCAGGCCATTCTTTGGATTGTTGAAGATGTGAAAAGATAAAGTTATCTCTTTTGCATCCCAAATATGGATTCCACTTATCCCAAGTCTTTCTATAAGGAAATTCTAATATTTAGAACCTGAATCCCAGGGTGCATAACTTCCATGTTTTTTATACTTCCTTGGGAACTCTGTTGTACTTTTCTTTTATATACTGATACTTAATATTTCTCAATGGATAGTCCTCTTATGACCCTACATTTAAAAATATGACTTAGGCAGGAAAACTAAATACATGCTTACTACATGTCTTAGCAACTGCACTCTTAGGCATTTACACAAGAGAAATGAAAACTTATGTTCACGCAAAAATCTGTTCATAATGTTCACAGCAGCTCTACTCATAATAGCCCAAAACTGGGAAAAGCCCAGATATCCTTCAACTGGTAAACAGTTAAGCTATTATACACCCATACCTTGGAATGCCACTCAACAATTAAAAATACACTATCAGTACAGGTAATACCTGGGTTAGAGCTCAAGGACATTATACTGTGTGAAAAAAATATCTCAAAAGGTTACACACCGTGTCATTCCACTTATTTAACACTTTCCAGATGACACAATTATAGAGCTGGAGAACAGATAGGGTGCCAAGAGTTAGGAAGGGTGGAGAGAGATTGGCTGTGAAAATAAAGGAGTAGAAACACAAGGGATATCTTTGTGGTGATGCAAAATTTCTGTATCTTAATTTGGTGGTAGTTACAGAAATTAACACAATTAAATTGCACACAAAACACACACACACACACACACTGATGAGTGCCTGCAAAACTGATGAAATATGAATAAGGTCTGTGAATTGTGCCAATGTCAATTTCCTAGTTTTGATATTGTACTATAGTTATGTAAAATGTTACCATTGGGGTAAATTGGGTGAAGGGTACATCAGATTTTTTTTTTCAACTTCTTATGGGCCTATCATATTTTCAAAATAAAATATAAACAAAACCTTCACCAACCCTGATTTTCTTGCCTTAGGAAAAACTTCCTAAGAGTTGTCTCCACATTCCCACCAGGAATCACAAATCCTATCCCATTCTAATCCTCCTCCAATCCAGTAACACACAGCAGCCAGAGTCAACTTTTGAAACACCAACATTTAATTACTCCCCCTTCTTAAAAACTCTTTAAAAGCCTCCAAACCCTCTTAGAATAAAATTTAATGTGTAGTTTAAATAAAATTCCTGCTGTGATGTAGCCCTTCTCCGGTGTCATTCCACACCATCTCTGTTCCGCCAAAGTCCAGTCACACTCATCTTCACCGCTTTCTAGTTCCTGAAATAGCCAAGAGTTTTCCAGCTTTAAACACTTCGCATAAACCATTCTCTACAGAGAGCAGAGAAAGTGGTTTCGAATGGGACCTCCGAACTTCAAATCACAGGACACTGAATTCTTCAGGCTTTGATTAGCGCATGAGCTGCTTCTCACAGGAACAACTCTACAGTGTTTGCTGACAGCTGACTGACTTTAAGAACGTTTCAGATCTTCCAAGCAACACCAGGAATGCATATTTGATTGCTTACAGCGCGGTAGTTCCTTTAATCCTTAAAACGACCGCCTACGGGAGAGACTAGCACCCAGTTCACAACTGAGCCTTTAAGGAGCTTAAGTAACCCGCCCAGAGTTGAAAAGGAAGTGGAGAGCTTGTAATCAAAGCCAGAACTGCTTCTGACCTCTACGCAATACTGCGTGTCTTATCCTCTTCCTCCAGCCCACGAACACAACCAGTGAATCCTGCAGGTAGCTAGCTCCCTTGGATCCTGGGATCCAAGACTACAGACGGGCTCCACAGTATCCCAACCTTCTCTCACGCCCGAGACGGGAAGACCAGTAGGGGCAGGCCAGCGCGAGGCGCCTCTGAAAGAAGCAGCATTGCAGGCGGCGAGCGCACGTCAGCGGCTACTCACCTGGTGCTGGCACGGCGGCCACCTTGGCACAGTGGCCAGGGCCTCCCCAGTGCCCGCCAGACTGCCGCGGAGAAGCCCCCCGGGAGAGCCCCCCGGGCGGATCCGCAGGTACTGCCCAGGTAACGCAGCACCGGTACCATCGCCTGCGCCCGTACCCTGCCTCAGCCCCAGAGGTCGCCCCTAGGGCCGGACAGAACCAGGCTCCCGGCGCTCTCTGGGCCCGCCTCCCACGCGGGAGCCAATGAAGCGCGCGCCTCCGCCCCACGTGGGAGCGGACCAGTGACCAATGGACGGGCGCGGAGGAGGATGAAGGGGAGGTCGTCGACGCTGTAGACGCGAGGGACTGCTGCTCGCTCGCTCCCGCCCTCGGACGCTGTGAGTAGGAGTTAGGCCCCGAGCGGGGCAGGACTACGGTGGTGGTTACGCTCTGCCCTTTCCCTACTCGCATTGCTAGTCTGACTGAAAACCCGGCTCGCGCAGTCTCGCGTCTTCGTCTTCACCGCCGATCCTATTCGGGGCGGTGGGAGAAAGTGTGGGCTCGGTTACGGTGAAAACTCTCCTTTGGGCGAACCCAGCTGCCTCCCTTCGCCCCGGCCCCGCCCCGGCCCCTGGAGGCCGGGGCGGACGTGCCCAGAGAAGGGGCCGGAGCGATCCCTGGATCCAAGGGAGTTTGCTTCCGCCCCTCCACTGCCTCTCCGGGCCGAGACCCTTGCGCGCCGCAACGCCTGACAGCCTGCGGTCTCTGCGCCGCCTCTGTGAGCTCCCGAGGTGTCTTTCATAGTCGCTTATTGGGCCTGGGAACACCGACCGCCTACATGAACCACACCATCCTGCCGTCATTTAGCAGTCTCTCTTAAATACTGGGCCGAGGTACAGTTTTACATATGCTGTGCGTGCCTCGAATAGCGACTCACCTGTACAGGTCACTTCACCCATTTGTTTATCTGTAATATGCGGGAGTTGGGCAGTGTAATCTCTGAAGGACCTAATTCTGTAAAATTACGTGATTCCCCTGCACCGTGCCAGTTTAACACCCATTCTCTGTGCTCGATGATGGATTTTGATTTTTAGGGTCAGGACAGCTGAACAATAAAAGTAAAATGATTTAACTTTATTGCTGGAAGGACTAATTTGGCTTCAGTCTTTAATCAGGTGGCTTGGGCAAGTGATTTCACCTCTTCGCCTCAGACCCTCTGTGAACTAGGAATAATAGCAGAGCTTTTTTCGTAGGGCTCTTATGTTGATTACATACATAAGGCGTTGAGCACAGTGAAGTACTTAATAAATGACTGCTTTTATTATGTTTAAATGGTTTTACCCCCCTGGACAGCTGTACATAATTTGCTTTTTTTTGAAAACTGTGTAGAATGTTACCTGCTTATTCCATCACAAATGAAAAAAAAAGTAAGAGATGGGTTTTTTTTAATTCAATGTCTTATTTTGAGATAATTTCAGATTCCCATGTAGTTGTATGAAACAATAGAGATCCTGTGTACCCTTTACCCAATCTCCTCCAATGATAACATCTTGCAAAGCTATAGAACAATCAGAACCCGGATATTGACATGGACACAATCCATTGATCTATTTCAGATTTTCCCAGTTTTACATCTGTGTGTCTGTTTAGTTCTATGTAGTTTTTAGTATAGTATAGCGTATGTATTTAGTTCTGTACAATGTAATTTATTATAAATTCTTGCATACCACAGTCAAGCTACAGCACAGTTCCATCACCACAAGGATCCCTCCCTTCTGAGGGCACCCGCTTCCCTAATCTGTTTTCCCTTTATAAAATCTTGTCACTTTTTCATTTTAAGAATATTACATAAACAGAATTATACAATATGTTGCTTTCCAGACTTATTGCTGAGTAAGCAGTATATCATGGTATGGATATATCCCAGTAGGTTTAACCATTCATCCATTTAAAGGACATCTGAGTGGTTTCCAGTTTTTAGCTATTTTTAATAAAGCTGCTGTAGACATTAATGTATTGCTTTTTGTATGAACCTATTTTTGTTTCTCTGAAGTAAATGCCAGAGAATCCAGTTGCTGGGTCATATGATAAATAAATGTTTAGTTTTGTAAGAAACTGCAAATGGTTTTCCAAAGTGGCGTTACCTTTTTACTTTCCCACCTGCGATGTTTCAGCGATCCAGTTCCTCCTCATTGTCACCAACATTTGTTATTGTCACTACTATTTATTTTAACCACTCTGACAGGTATACAGTAGAGGTATGTTATTTTTAAGTTTGTACAGGATGTAGTGGATTTATTACTAGGTTGAATAGAGGATCATGTATTTCTAGGATCATGGTCAGACTTTCATGGAAAAACTGGGCCCATAGTAGGAACCCTTTTTACTACTCTGTGACTTTGTGTATGTGCTTCTTAGTTTAGCAAGAGCTAAGTGAAAAATGCATGCTCTCTTTATAAATTTTCTGCTTACCATCTTCCATAGGTTTGCATATACTTTACTTTCAAATCAAGAGCTCGCCTTACACTTAAACACCCTATAATGTCTTTGGCTAGACAATTATATTCATGACACCACCCTCCTCACCTGAAAGTTTATGTTCATCTTCTTTCATCTATGTCAGAACTTAGAAGACGTTAGTTCAATGAATGCCAAGTGATACTGGCCTAGGAATGAAAGGCTTTAGGACCTTTGTTTCTAATTCCTATAGAACTGCTCTGTTGTTCTATTTCACTAGATTGTACACATCTCAGGAATAAGAACTGGCATCAGTAATGGGTGATTTGCAGTGAGTTGGGGTTGTAATTGGGAAACAACTCTCCAGTTCTGATACCACTGTACCCCTCTCCCCACATTTTATCCCTTTCAAGAACTGGTTTGATAGTTCACTCCTTTTTGACACTAAATTAGCCATAACTGAGTAGTGCTCGTCCCTACCCCCCACCCTGCACCAACCCAATTACTTACACTTAATACATAAAAACAGAACTTCTACTTAAAAAAAAAAAATCATTGTTTCTATGCAATTGGGAGCTCTCAGTCAACCTAGTCAGATGCTTGTTGTATATCCTCTTTTGAGTAACATCAGAGGTCTGCGCTCTGACACCAACATAATTGCGACTTCTAGAAACATCTGGTACAAATTTTTGACTCAACACCATGTTGTGATAGTAGGAAGTTTGATATGTGGGGGTTTTTTTAATGAATTTAATTCCTAAATTATCAAAGCAGTAATTTAGTGGTGGTTATTTTTTAACCTATTTTTAACTGGTTTAATTCATTAGAGCTAAATTCACCAATTCACCACTAGAGGTCTCCTCTTTCACTGTAGTAAGCATTCCCAGAGGTAGCTGCTTGAATTAATTTGAAACTCAATTAGCAAAGTCCAAGTTGAGAATGTAAAAACCTACCATTTTTTTTTCTAACCTTTGCAGGCAAACCTAGGTGATGTCCCAGGTTCAGGGCCAGACCACCACAATAAAGCAAATATCTCGTTAAAGCTAGTCAAATGAATTTTTTGGTTTCCTAATGCATATAAAAGTTATGTTTATACTGTAGTGTAGTAAGTGTGCAATAGCATTATGTCTTTAAAAAAACTATGGATAGCATACTTAAAAATACTACACTGCTAAAAAAAAAAGTGCTAATCATCATCTGAACTTTCAGCAAGTCAGTCTTTTTGCTTGCAGAGGGTCTTGACTCAGTGTTGCAGTCAGGGTAGTGGTTGACGGTTGGGGTGATCAGGGTAGTGGTTGATGGTTGGGGTGGCTGTGGAAATTTCTTAAAGTAAGACAACAATGAAGTTTGCCACATCCCTTTCACCAACAATTTCTCTATAGCATGTGATGTTGTTTGATAGCATTTTACCCACAGCAGAACTTCTTTCAAAATTGGAGTCAGTCCTCTCAAACCCTGATGCTGCTTTATTAACTAAGTTTATGCAGTATTCTAAATACTTGGTTGTCATTTCAACAATCTTCACAGCATCTTCACCAGGAGTAGATTCCATCTCAAGAAATCACTTTTGCATTGATACAGTCACATCATCAGGCTCCATTTCTGATTCTAGTTCTCTTGCTATTTTCCCCTCATCTGCAGTTAACTTCCTCCACTGAAGTCTTGAACCCCTCAAAAACATCCATGAAAGCTGGTATCAGCTTCTTCTAAACTCCTGTGAATGTTACTATTTTGACCTCCACCCATGAATCGCAAATGTTCTTAATGGCATCTAGAATGGTGAATCCTTTCCAGAAGGTCTTCAAATGACTTTACCAGATCCATCAGATGAATCACTATCAATGACAGCCTTAGCCTTATGAAATGTATTTCTTAAATGATAAGACTTGAAAATCAAAATTACTCCTTGATCCATATGGACTGCAAAATGGATGTTGTGTTAGCAGGCATGAAAACAACATTCATCTCATTGTACATTTCCATCAGAGCTCCTGGGTGACTACTCAATGAGTAGTGCTATTTTGAAAGGAATCTTTTCTTCTGAGCAGTAGGTCTCAATAGTAGTCTTAACATATTCACTAAACTATGTTGTAAATATATGTGCTGTCTTCCAAGCTTTGTTGTGCCATTTAGAGAGCACAGGTGGAGTAGATTTAGCATAATTTTTAAGGCCCTGGGATTTTCTGAATGGTCAAGAGCACTGGCTTCAACTTAAGGTCACAAGCTGCATTAACACCTAACTAGCACTTCAGCCTATCATTTGAAGCTTTGAAGCCAGGCATTGATTTCTCTCTAGCTATGAAAGTCCTAGATGACATCTTTTTCTAATAGAAGGCTGTATTGTCTACATTGAAAATCTCCTTAGTGTAGCCACCATCATTAATGAGTTTAGCTAGACCTTCTGGATAATTTACTGCAGCTTCTACATGAGCTCTTGTTGCTTCCCCTTGCCCTTTTATGTTTCGTAGATGGCTTCTTTCCTTAAACATCATAAGTGAACCTCCACTAGCTTCCATCTTTTCTTCTGCAACTTCTTCACCTCTCTCAGCCTTCATAAAATTGAAGAGAGTTCAGAGAGAGGGCCTTGCCCTGGATTAGGCTTTGCTTAAGGGAATGTTGCGGTCAGTTTAATTTCTCCAGACCACAAAAACTTTTTCCATATCAGCAATAAAGCTGTTTCACTTGCTTATCTTTCATATGTTCACTGGAGTAGCACTTTTAATTTCTTAAAGAACTTTTCCTTTGTATTCAGCACTTGGCTCTTTGGCACAAGAGGCGTAGCTTTGGACCTGTCTCAGCTTTTGACATGCCTTCTGCACTAAGCTTAATCATTTCTAGTTTTTTATTTCAACTGAAAGACATGCAACTCTTACTTTCACTTGAATACCTAGAAGCCATTGGAGGGTTATTAATTGGCCTAATTTCAATATTCTCTCTCAGGGACTAGGGAGGCCTGAGGAGAGGGAGAGAGTGGGGGAATGGCTGGTCAGTGGAGCAGTTGAACACTCAGTTTATTGATTAAGTCCCATCTTATGAGAGTGTGGTTCATGGCTCCCAGAACAATTACAATAGTAATATCAAAGATCACTGATCACAGTTCACCATAACCAATATAGTAACATTTGAAAAAATTTGGAATATTTCAAGAATTACTGAAATATAACACAGAGTTACAAAGTGAGTAAAGCTGTTGGAAAAATGGTGCCAAAAGACTTGCTTGATGCAGGGTGCCACAAACCTTCAGTTTGCAAAAATCGTATCTGTGAAGTGCAGTAAAGCAAAGCACAATAAAATAAGGTATGTCTATATTGCCAAATAAAACTTTGATTTTCATGTTTAAATTATTTTAAATATAATATCTAGTATTCTTAGAGATCATAGCTGAAGTAAATTTGACCTTTAATCTGAATTGTAAGGTGGGCCAAAATGAATCAAGTGAAAACACTTCAGTTTTCATAGTTCACTCAAATTTACCTGCTTAAAAAGAGCTTGCCTAGTTTTACCTTTCCGTATGAAAATATGTCAAACATTGAAAACTATTGGTACATTTTCACTGAAGTCTTAAATTAGGGATGGCACTGTGGTAGGTGCTAGGAAAAATGGAAATATGTAAGATGTGTTCTTTGCTTTTCCTTTTCCTCTGCATACCTTTTTTTCTGCCTAACTAAAAATACTTAGTCATCCTTTGAGACCCATCTCAAAAGACTCCTCTAAGGTGAAGCCTTCCTTTCCCTCCCTCCTCTAGGCTTTCACAGAACTTGTTCATACCTTTATTAAGATACAATAGGGCATGTTACTTGTTTATGTGTCATATGTCTCCTTCACTGAACTATACATTCTATGAGGACAGGAACCATCTTTCTGTCTTTGTATCTTCTTTGTTCTGTTTATCTTACCATTGTATCTCCCTCCCCTAAGTATAGTGGATATTCAATAAATATTTATTGCATGAAAGAATGAGTGGATGGATGAAGATGACATTTGAATAAGGTCTTGAGGTTGGTTACGATTTCCAGACAGGAAGAAGGAACTGTGAAATTAGACCAGGGGCCAGCGTTACTCAGGGCCACCAGTGTAGTGTGATGGCCTCAACAACCTGAAAAAAACAAGGAAACAAGTTCTTTCCTAGAACTTCCAAAAGGAATGCAACCCATCTTATCGATGTTAGGTGTCTGGACTCCAGAAAAAGTTGCAGTAAAAGATCAACCCAAACATAAAAATATGTAACTTTGTTTATGAAATTTCAGGATTAGAGAAATTATTTCCTAAATCCAAGTGATGATAAATTGACATGTGATCTACTTATGAAGAAAATACACATACTAGAGGACAATATTATGATTAAAAAATATATTTTAGCCTTATGAGATATACCTAGTGTCTCTCCAACAGATATTATCAGAAGAATTGCAAGAAAAACTATATATTACAAAGCCCAGTAACACCATGGTGGGGACGTAATTGTCTCAGATCTCTCCAAAACTCAGATTAACTGCATGACAGAGCAGCCTCCACAATAAGTGCTTACTACTGGTGAGGATATACATCATCTGAGGAGAAAATGAAGATGGGAAACCTGCGGCCCATAGAGAATAAGTTTCCCAAAGTCACAAAGCTGGAAAGTGGATTCAAACATGGTCAGTCTGATTCTAGACTCCATGCTTGCTATGAATTGAATTGTGCCTCCCCAAAAGATATGTTGAAGTCTTGATCCCTGGTGGTTGTGGTTGTAAAACTAATATAATACTCTGAACACCTGTGCTATAGTGCTTACTCAGAGTGAATAAGAAAAAAAGTAGAAATAAGAAGTGCTGGCAGGGATGTGGAGAAAGGGGAACATATCTGCACTGTTGGTGGGAATGTAAATTGGTGCAACTACAGAAAAAAGTATGGAATTTCCTCAAAAAATTAAAAAGGGAAATATTGTTTAATCCAGCAATTCCATTTTTAGGTATTCATCCAAAGAAAACAAAAACACTAACTTCAAATATATGCACCCCCATGTTCACTGCAGCATTATTTGCAATAGCCAAGATACTAAAACAACCTACATGTTCACCAGTGAATGAGTGGATAAAGAAATTGCGGTATGTATATATACAATGGAATATTCAGCCATGAAAAAGAATAAAATCTTGACATGGATGGATCTCAGGGGCATTATGTTAAATGAAGACAAATACTATATGGTCTCATATGAAATATATATACACACACACATATGCATACCAAGCTAATAGATACAGAAAACACATTGGTGGTTGCCAAAGTTGGGGATGGAGGGTGGGAGAAATGGGTGAACTGTTTTTGTCTAAATAAATTGAATTTTTAAAAAAGATAAAAAAATTCCAGACAGGATTGGGAGGGCAAGGAGGGATGGCAATAGAGGGAACAGCCTGAGGAAGCTGGAGAGCCCAGATTTCTAATGAGATTGGCAGCCCATGGAGTTACTAGAAATGGGCATAGGTGGAGAGAGTTTTAACAAAAAGCTGGGGAGGTCTGAGAAGATGACACTGATTACAGGGGAAAAGGTTTGCAGCAATAAAGGCAGAGTGATGGTGGAAGAGGGATGAATACGGTAGATAACCCAAGGGTCTGCCCTCAGACCTCACTTCTCACTATTTCATAACCTCAGGGTCCTCAGTCACTTCCTCAGCTCTGTGGTGGTTCCCACTCAGGTCTCTTTCTAGTCCTCTTTTTTCCTGGGTTCTAGAACCATTCAATGACTCAGGAAAGAGCCCTTGACTGGTATGAGAGAATTAAGTTCAAGTTTCAGCGCTGGCCCCATTTAGCCATGAAACATTGGGCAAATCCTTTTAAACACGTGCATTTATTAATACCCCGCCTTGTTCCAGAAAGGATTTAGGGTGTCAGCAAGTTACTTAATATCAGGGCTTCAGTTTCCTCATCTCTAAATGAGAGGTTTGGTCTACATAATCTTAAATTCCTTCCAGCTCTACCATTTTGTGACTCTAATGACTCGGTCATCTCCACCTAGAAGTTCTGTGAGCACTTCACATTTAGAACATGAAAAATTGGGGAAAAAACCTGAACCCATAACCCTGTCCTCCTGACATTGGTATCTGTTAATAGCATCAGCATCCTACCAGTGACCCAGGACCAAAACTTGGTGTCGTCTTCGACTCTTCTGGGCCTTGCCCCAGCGTCTCACTTACTGAATCATGTGGAATCCACTCTGTAATGTCATTCCCCATTCTTGCCCCACTTGGCCCTTTCTTGTGGCCCCGTGTACTTGAAGTTCTTATTAGCTGTCTCTCTGTCATGCTGTGTTGACCCTCAGTCTTTAAGCTGTTGTCTTAGTAATAGTCCTTCAGCATAGGTCTTCCAGTGCCATTGCTCTGTGCTAAAACCTCAGTGACTCCCTCCTGCCTACAGAAGACAGTCCAAATTCCATGGCTGAACTGGCTGATCATACGAGACCCTTCCTTTTGGGACTGTGTAAATTGCCTCCTCTTCTCATGACAATCATGTGCTAACCAAAGTGGACAAAACATGCCTTAAATGTACCTGCCTCAGCTAATTACCTGATGTACCTTTTCCTGGCATCTTTGGCTGTTGAAATGCCAGTATGTCCTCATTTTAACTCTTTGAGATATTCATTAGGTTCTGTCATTGATTTTTAAATACTTGGTAATTTGTTTTACCCTGCATTAAGTTGTCAGCTCCTCAAAAGCTGAAACCAAGTATCATTTATCTTTGTTTTCTCCTCACTTGGCACACTTCTAGAGAAACTTGAGATAAATCAAATTGGACCCAGCTCAGAAATCACTTTCCTAATTCATGGTTATAGATTTGTATAGCTGGAAATTCTCTGTACAAATCATCCATTTCATTTTACAGATGTTACCAAAGGTCAGGGAGGTGAAGTTACTGCCCAGTCTTTCCCAGCCGCCCTTGCACAGTTCTTTGCACTGTTCTGATGACAGTACTCGCAGCCTTGTCATAAGATTTGTTTTCATGTCTCCTCTTCCTTCCTGGATGTACGTTCTTAACCCCAACACATGCTCCCTAGGTGATTTTTTGCTTGTCATTTCCATACTGGAAATATAGATTAGTAGTGGAGCTGGTTTCAGCGGATTCGCTGGTGCACTGCCTGCATGGACACCAGGGGGGGGCAGCACTGCAGGCAGATTCCAGCTGAGGACTTGAATGGTGGAAATCAATGTTAAGGCTGGAACTTCATAGACTATCCAATCCAGCTCTTTTTTTTTTGCAGCAAAAGAAACCAAGAAAGAGACCGGACTGACTTGCTTAATAACCGTTGAATGGAAGTGAGTCATCAGCTTTACCGGCATAGGAACATTGACCTTGCAGTTAAAGTAAACCAAGTTACTGTATGTGCAGGACTCTGATTGCCAGCTGATAACCTAATATGAATACTGTTTTGTTTGTCTAGATAAAATTATGCTGTTTGGAAAAATTTCTGGACAGTTGTGTGGCTTAAAGAAACTCCCATGGTCATGTGACTCCAGACACTTCTGGGGCTGGTTGAACGCAGTGTTCAATAAGTAAGTTACTCTTAACTATAGTGAAGAAATGTGGGGATTATCCCAGCTAGATGAGTTCCCAAGAGCTATTTTGGTTATTCCTTGTATTTCAGATGTTTTCTGTACAGGGTGTGCAGTATGATAACTAATGTTGTTTAAAAACAAATAAAACACACACAAGCATTGAATGAAGACCAGAAAAATAGATTACAACATATTAACTGTCTGGGTTGCAGGATTTCAGTGATTTTTCGTATTGTCCTTTTAACACCTTTCAAATTTTCTACAATGAACATTTATTATTATTATGATCAGAAAAGCTCAGTAAATGTAATTTTATAGTATTTTATTTTATGGCTTCCTAAGGGATATAGTTAGCTTTTTGAATACTATCAAGGGAACTCAAGTTCTTAAAAACATAGTAGGTAGCATGCTTAGAGATACCACTTTTGAAACAAATAAACCTCCTTGTTGCTTAATATAAAATTAACACTAGAAAAAAAGGTATATGTAGAAATTAGTATCACTTAATGAGATTGAGCATAGGCTCAAAATTATTCCATCATTTATAAAAATAAGTATAATCATTTATTCAATACATAATTACTGAGTACCTCCTGATGTCAAGCATTGTGCTACATATGAATCAATGAAGACTTGTGTCTGCCTGATAAATTCATATAAAAATAATATGCCTTAACAAAGTTTACATGGAAATAAAAATAAAGGCAGAAAAGGTAGCAGGTAGAGCCATTGTATGTTTTTTTCACATGATTCTCACCAATATCTCCCTCCTCAGTCATTGAAATGAAAAGTTGCTTTTCTGTATTTATGTTGGTGATTAAAGTTAAAGCTAGTGAATACAGCTGCTTTTGTTCCCTTGCCAACAGAGTGGATCATGAACGCATCAGGGCTGTTGGCCCTGACAGGGCAGCGTCTGAGTGGCTGCTGCGCTGCGGGGCCATCGTGCGCTACCACGGTCAGGAGAGGTGGCAGAAGGACTACAACCACCTCCCAACAGGCCCTCTGGACAAATATAAGATTCAGGCAATTGATGCCACTGACTCTTGTATCATGAGTATTGGATTTGATCACATGGGTAACTACCCAGTCATTTGCTTTAGGAAATGAAGGTTATTTGCAGTGACATTTTGATGCAGTTGACTCACTATTATAGTCATAGGTGGGTCCTTTTTGCCCTTTTTGGTGCAGTCCAGCTTGTTTGTTCCTGTATATAACATTTATTTTTAAATTAAATAGAGGTTACAGTCACCTTCCTTTCCTCCCTCCTTCACTAAGTTTGTCTCTATACCTTTATTTTGTGGTTTATTGACTTAAAATTCAATGCCTTGTTTGTCAGATTATCTCGGTAAACTTCTGTCACTAAGAAACCTTCAGTAATATAAGTATAATTATATCCTCACAATTTCTGCTTGTGTGGTCATTTCCTTCCTCCAGTGCATGGGCCTCTGACTGCAGAATGGCTCCGTCTGTCAGAACAATAAGGGTAGTGAATACCTTGTATGGTTAATAGTGTAAATAATTGTCCCCATTTTCCTGGGACTGAGGTTTCCAAAGACATAGGACTTTCAATCCTAAAGCTAGAACTATCCTGGGTAAACTAGGATATTTCGTCATCTTAGTGGTAAAGTGGATTCTTCAACTGTGCTTTTTTTATCCTCCAGAGGGCCTACAGCATGTTGAAAAAATAAGGCTATGCAAGTGTCATTATATAGAGGATGGCTGTTTGGAGAGACTTAGTAAACTTGAAAACTTACAAAAAAGCATGTTGGAAATGGAAATAATTTCATGTGGGAATATCACAGACAAAGGCATCATTGCTCTGCATCACTTAAGGTAGGTGGTCATTTCCACCAAAATGGAAACTTGATAATGATGATAAGGTGAATAATTAGAATTTAAAACAGCTGAGCGATTCTTCAAGTTCTTTTTTTTAGGTCTTTTTAGTTCTGATAAGTATAAAGAAAATAACTTTCATCTGTAATAGTTTAAAACAGCTACAATTATCAACCTTGATATATTGAAGTTTTACTTCAATTTTTTTTAGGTGGCATCTTTTAAAAAATTAAATCTACATAAAGCACTTAGCATGGTGCCTGCTACAGTAAGCTGCCAGTAAGCATAGCTATTTTGCTGCTTCTCCACTTTTAAAAGCAATTTTTCCCATGTTCTGTCAATAACCTCAGTATCACAGGAAGTTTGGGAGGTTTTAAACCTAAGAACCAAAAGTACTAGATTGTTTTCTATTACACTAGTTGAGGCTTCAAGGCTTCATCTTTTAATAGAAACTTGGTTTAAGAACTTTACCAATTTTTTTCCCTTTCTGGGTAAGATTCATATTTCATATTTCACATGCAAAGGAGTTCTATGCTATAATATACACGTAGTATTTGGAAAGACTCAGCTAGAATTGTTGGTGTAATTCAGAACTAAACTTTTCAAAGTCTGGCTTAGTTAAAGTAGTATGGTAAGACTACTGTTCTAAAAGTTATTTTAAAAATGTAGGGTGATAGAAACATTCTGTGTGTAATTTTTTCTAAAAGTCAAATTGAGTTTGGTTTTAATGCTTTAAGAGCAAATTGAAGTAACTTTTTTCTTTCTTTTTGCAGAAATCTCAAGTATTTGTTGTTAAGTGATCTTCCTGGAATAAGAGAAAAAGAAAACCTTGTCCAAACCTTTAAAATAGCACTGCCTTCTCTGGAACTAAAGTTAGACTTGAAGTAAAATAATAATATTCAATAAGTGTCTTATTTTGTATCATTTGAAATTGTTGGTCCTAAACAGAAACAAATATATAATCATCAGAACTATAAGGATGTCATATCATGACATTTCAGAAGCAGAGAGTCCATCATGTAGAAAATAAATATTCAGGCATAACTCAACTGAAGTTACTAAGTTAGAAGTGAGAATTTATGTACATTAAATCATTTTAAGAAAAATGCAAACCAAGTAGCAATTTTAATATATTCATTTTTTTGTAGGTATCTCTTGATATAGAGTTCTTTAAAGTGATTTAAATGTACAAGTTATTCTTTATTGTATTTTAATAGTAATGTTATATTTTCAGGTTATTGAAGCATGTTACTATATATGAAAACTTGTAAGCTAAATTTCATACTGATTGATGGAGTCAGTTATGCAAAGTAGTCAGTGGTTTTCGAGACATTCATATTGCTTCCCAGGATTTGTATGCATTTCTCATGATTCTGAATTTCTGTGTTCTTTTTAACATACATATTTTATCTGAATGAATAGTTTCTAGCTGATTTGTCTACTTTGTAAACTTAGTCTGGTGTTTTATTAAATCTAGACATACATACTTGGCTGAATTCACATAGTTTTGCTGACTCCAGTAAAATCAGAAACAATAATGAAGACTAGCACAGGTATACTGATTTTTTGCTTGAGTTAAAAAATTGCTTTTGGCAGAAAATTTTAACATCAATTAGAAACTAATTTTTATTCCCTCACCTATGTTGGATACTACTTCCTATGAGCTCAAGGGACATCAAAAAGAAGTATAGGCACAAAATTCAATGTGTATCTAGAAGGCAGTGATAAAGAATATCACAAATACATAAAAACAGATCTTTATTTTTACCTGCTTAAAATGGCCCTGATTCTATTATTGTTAGTTATATGCTCACTGTTCATAGATTCCTGTATATTTGGTCTGAATTAAGCTGTTGAACATAACCTTGACTGGAAACAGTTTTAAAATAAGCACTAAGATGCAGCATTCAAGTAGAAAAATGAATTTTAGTTGTGTTTAGAAAACAGCTTATGTAAATAGCACATATCATAAATGATATACTATTTACTAACATAATTGCCACTGTCATTTTAAAAAACCAAATAAACAAAAAACAAGGATGTACAACAGTCTCATATGAAACAGTAGTGACTCCATGCCAAAGAAAGGATTACAAGTATAATTAAATTAAGCGTAAGTATATATTTAATAAAACTCATTAGAAAAAAATTAGTACTTCTATCTCAGGTTTGTTTGATTGCTGTGTGGTGAGGCAACTGATTGAAAATTTAGTCTGGAGCTACTTTTTCTATTCTGAATGGTCTTCTGTAAAACTACTGAATGAATTAGACAGTTATAGTCATCTGCCTTGTCAAGTGCATTGTTTTGGTTAAGGGAAAAAGAAAACAACAATGTATAAACTATTCACAGAAGTCAGATGTCCTTCCTTGTCATTTGAATCAAAGCTGCATAACAAGATTTTGATAATAGTGGGACTAGTTTTAAACCCACTATCAGCTCTATGCAATAAGTTACATATATCAGGATGCCTTAGGATACCATTAAACTGGCTGGGGTAGTCAAAATTATTGAACAGATGCCAGAATTTGGTGGATTACTTAGCAGTAAGAGAATAAAGTCAAATGCTCTCATGAAGAAAATTACCACAGCAGTAAACTAAGACTGCAATAGAAATGTTCTGAAGTAAAATACAACTTCAAACAGGGCTGAGAGTTGCTAGGAAATATAAGCAGCAAGTCAACCAAAAATGGTGTTAAGCTATAAAAAAACAGACATGAGCTTCAGATTGCCCTCATGTTGAGGGGACAAGATGAAAAAGCTATTTGAATCAGAGCAACAGGCCACTTCAAAGCTAATTTAATGTTACCAATTTAAGTATCACTGTGTAAAGCCAGGAATCTTCAGTAATAACCATTTTGGACTACTTTCTTGTTATCAGTTGTTCACATAGTATACACACACATATGTAGATATATGTGCGTGTGTATATGTGTGTGTGTACATATATATATGTACACACATACATACATACAGTATAAAAAGATACTTCAGAGGAAATATGAGTTTACAACTTAATATCTTTGATGACCAAACAAAAGCTCACAAGTAATTTCTTCCAAAAACCCAGATCACTATATACAGTTCTGTCTGTAGGTCTTCCTGCAAGACAGGGGCTGAGCTGGGGAGAATGAAGTACTAATTATTTGCAGCCCAACAGGCTCAGTTCCTGCAGATCCTGTAGGTCCTGTTCTACCCCTTGATCACCTTGGTCAGCTTCAAGCTTCACGCCACAAGGGGAGTTGGGTGAACAAGTGTAGACAGATTACAGTAAATTCATCTTGCCTGCAAAAATGACTAAGATGCATCCTTTACTAAAAGTAAAGTATATGTAAGAAATTTCTATAAACAGATCATTAAATATATAAGCAGATAAAATAGTCTTTTAATCCACATATTTTAAATATTCTGAACTCTTAAATATTCCAACAAATGTTTTAAAATATAAAAACCAAGCAATAAATGGAATTTTAAGCATTCTGATTTCAAGAACCAAAACCCCTTACATATGATGGTGAGAGAATCTGAAAAGGCAGAAGATAGGACTTGAGGTAACAGAGATCTGAGGAAATACACCAGGGCAGTTTGTAATCCATTTTTCACTTGTTCTGTGTGGCATGACTGAAGTATAAATCTTTTTTACATCTCTGATTTTGCCAGAGATATGGGCAGTAGACACAGTTTATATTCTGTCCATGAGCTCAGATACTTAGATGCCACAAAAATACAAGTGAAAATGCAAGTGGGCTTTTCCTTCCTGTTCTGGACACCATGGTCAAGCATGGAAAGCTCCCTCCCAAATTTCCCTTCATACCTTGCCAAGTGGCCTACCCCAGTTTGTCACTTGTTTTCTATCTTGATGTTTTTTCAACACTGTGATTGCTTTCAAATGCTTTATTTTCTTCAAATTATGGATCAATTCCTTTTTAATCATCAATCTCTAAGCTCCTTAAATATTTGGAAAATGGTAGTTAAGTTTCTTCATATTACAGTAGTACTTCTTATTATCCAAAGCTGGAAGGATGCTGCTGCTCGTCAGCTGAGGTAGGCACTGCAACTGAAAATACACAACACAGAATTAGGTTCCATACTGTGCACTCTTCATTATTGATTACACATCAGGGAAGAGGTACTAAGTAACCTTTTCAGCACAAAAACACTTTCTCTGCAAAGAATCTCTGCACTTTCTCAGCACAGAAACACTTTCTCTGCACAGAACTTGAGAGAAGACAAATGCTTAAATTTCATCTCTGCTTTTCCTTGCTAAGGTTTATTTTATATTAAAAAGCAAAACATGTACATTAAAATTTAGAGAGTATGACAAAAGGAAAAATCTACATATTAACATTCTTGGAAAAAAGCATGGATTCTCAGGAATTTAGAACTTGTAGGAACCTTAGGAATCATTTAAGCCAATGGTTTGTCTTAGAGCAAAGAAAACTCATGTCTGGAGCACTTAGGAAATAAGGCAAAACTGCTCAGTTCATGCTCCCAGAAGGAAAATGTCAAGTAAAATGAGAACATACACATATTTTTGGCTTGTACTGTAGAGCCTTAGATATCTGAAAAGCAGGTACTTTTTAATATTTATAAATAAGTTGAATCCTTCAGGAACTATAAGCAATACACCAGTTGGTGGGGTTCCCCTCTTCATGTAGAAATATTTCTATCAAGACCCTGGACTCCTGCACACAAACAGCAAGCTAAGGGGTTACTGGAGGGAAGTCTTATCTCCAGTCTCCTTTGCTACCTGGGTCGTATATGACAGAATATAATAAGCCATTCTTAATTCTATAATTGCTCTATCTTGGGACCCTGGAGTTCACACTGTCTCTGTTCCTAATGGACTATCCACCCACTTCTGTCCCCCACACTACCTAGATGCCATTCAGCCTGCCGGGAAGAGGCAGCAAAGGCCAAGGTATGATAACTTACAGCTGATGGGCCACCTAGGCGGATAAAGAAGTGACCAGGAGTAGCACACCCATCTTGGTTGTGGTTCTAACTAGCCCATTCTAAACTATTACAGCTTTTAACTTAACAACAAAACACTTAATGTAAGGCCATCTTGCCACTCTACATCAATCACATTGTTCTTAGGCTCCCTACAGGATAGATGCTATTGTCTGGTTAAATGTGCTGTTCTGCTTATATCACGGTACTTAGCCCAGCCAACTCTGACCACTGAAGGATCAGGGAGGAAAAAGTTCCTTTTCTGGATAAACCTGGAACATCAATCAATACTGAAGGGAACCATGATGACAGAGCTACCTGGGATAAATGAGAATTCATTTTCCAAAGCATAAGCTGCATACTGAGCAGGACTCTTGTACTTGGCTGAGACCGGTGCTCATGCGTGCCAAAAGCCCTTTCTCCTGTGTGGCAGCAGGGAACTGCAGGGAAAGGCCACCTTTAGAATAAAGGGAGAAGGGGCCCATGGAGGCAGACATCCCTAAGCTCCCTGGTTGGTGGGTCATATGATCTGTCTCCTTGGCTGGAATGACGGTTTTGGAGCTGCAAGCCGCAACCGCCACCTGAGTGTAGGTGCAGATGCTCTGCACAAGGTGGCAGGCATGAGATCATTTGCAACCGCAATCTTGGATGTTCCTGTAAAGCAGTGCCCCATTTTTACCCCAGGCAGGTGCTTTCGGCTCTGTCTGAGAGTCTTCCTCAATGGTCTGTCATGCTCTTTCGGTGAATCCCCTATTTCTCTGATGCTGTCAAAATATGTGTGCCGCAGCAGCTGTTCACACGTCAGTCTCTCAGCTGGGTTCATGTGGAGACAGCCCTAAAAGGACAGAAAATTCCCTCTGCTTACTTAAATAACATTTTATTAACTTATTATCATTTTTTTCTTCTTTGAAAGATTAAACTCTTCAGTTGGGAACTGAGTGGAGTGGGGCAGGGGAGCAGCGAGGGGGTAGGAAAAACACACACCAATCATGATTTTAGTTCTTTCCACAATCATTCCTAAATGGCCAACCACATAATAAAGTTTCTAAAAATAGTAACAAAAAATCATTTTCTCCACCTTGTTCTGTTCTGGAGGCAATTGATGCTCTGTCCTGAAGAGGTAGGATATGATTTGAGAGTTCATCTCAGTGCCCACCTAGAACAAACCACTTAACCAAACCAGTTTGGGCCATTGTATATACTTTGTAAAAACTAGTTTATTTAAAAAATACCTACCTATGGTAAAAATAAAATTCATATAGGATATAGCAAAATCTCTCTGCCACTCTAATTCTGCCATTTCCCATCTAGTATCGGCTACTTTTGGGGTGGGGTTGCATATTCTTCCAGAAATAGCCTTTGCATTACAAGCATATATGTGTATGTATATAAATGCCTATATATTACATCATTCTTAACTATTTGCTTTGCCACTGAGTAAGCAATGAGTCATACTTGGATAGATTAAATCTCACAGCTACATACCCCAAGGAACTGTCTTAATTTTTTTTATTACAAATGCATCAGTAAATGTACTAAATGCTTTTTGAAATGGGTGGGACATTGACTGTAACTTGCAAATATTTTAATTGTAACTCATTTTACACAAGAGCTATAAAGTTTTGAAAATCAAGTTTCAAAACCAAAACGTTTCAAAGATACTAGGATTTGGCTATTAAAGTGGTTCCTATGGCCAAACATTTGGAAAAAAATGATTCCCTTCATAAATAAATACCATCCCTCTGAAATATCCTTTTGTGTAAATTTAGATTTCAAATACAATGTTAGGTTTACTTGAAGTGAAAAACACAGATGTTTCCACTGTAACAGAATGTGACCCATTTTAAAAATTTGTATTTTTCAAAGGAGAACAATTCTAAAAGGAACACTTCAATTCATGGATTGACAAAAATCATTCAGATTCCCTGATGGTGAACTGCTGTTGTGAGCTGCCTGGTCTGTTGGAAGCCATGCCTTTACCTTTAAGAGCCCCAGGGCAGGATAAGAGATGTTTGGAAATTTTAATTCAAGTGGTTCCTGTTTAAAAAAGAAAAAGAAAAGGGGAATTTTATTTACAGTATGTATTCAAAGATAAGTTTACCTCAGATTGAATTTCTTTAGAGTCAGAGAAGCATCTTCTGGGCACTTTTCTTGCTTCCTCTGCCCTCTGCCCACCCCACCTGAACCCCCCACCCCCATCCCATGCTTGTTTCACAAGCTCCTCTGACCTGGAGTCGAAATTGCTTTCCCAGATTTTCTTCTTAACCACTCCCTGTCTCCTGAAGAACTGAGCAATTTAACAAATTATGAAGGAACACTAATGCAAGGGAAAAAACCCACTTGGGCAACACTCCCCTGCTTCAATTTCTGTAACTTGCTTTCCTCAGAATAATTTTCGGCATTTACATTGGCATTTATGTAAAAGGCAGCCGTAATTATTGCATTTATTGACATTTACATAAAGGGACCTTCAAAATGAATTTTTTTTTTTCTAGTTAGGTGAACAGCTGCTTCTTGGTTTTCTGGAATAAACACTATTTTCTCCCCTGACAAGAGTCTGCTGTTTCCCAGCTCATCCTACTGGTTACAGTCTCTCGAGCAGACATTCATCAATCTGCCTTTGGCCCTATAAGGCTGTTTTGCTCCAGTTGCAGGCTGGAGACAATCAGGAATAACAAACACTATAAAGTGGGAGGAATGCTGAATGTCAGGCAGACACAGCCAGTTAAAGAGATATACCACTGGCAAAGAGGCAAATCAAGGAGGGAAGCGGAGAAAATAAGGGCCAGGCACACTGAGCAAAATGAGTGTCCAGGGTGCGTAGTGTGTATAAAGATGGCAGTGTGCAAGTGGAGGCTGGGTGACCTGCCAGACTCATTCTAAAACACAATCCTGAGAGCTGTGGTCAAGCTTAAGAGCACAGTGTTATTTTGGACTGGGAATCAACCCTTAAGAATCAATTTCCAAGTGTGTACTTACTAAGCACTGTTAAAAGTAAGAGCCTCGGTTTTGAAGTTCCCAAAGATCACCAGGAAAAAAGAAAATCCGAAAGCAGATTTGTATTAGCCCTTGAGAAGTGCCTCTTCCCCCATGCCACCCATATCTTCGATATTTCTCTTGTTATTCCTGTGTGTTGAATCTGAACACGGCTGGGGATTGACATGACACTGCTGACACTGAGCTCTGCTGTCTCAGCCACAATGCCGGGATGAGGCCGGCTGCTTGGCTGTGATATGAGGGGCCCATCCTGTCTGCTTAGCTGGTTTCCTGGCCCCAGAAGCAAGCAGGCCTCCCTCCCGCAGGGTTACTGACCAGCAGAGGGACTTGGGCAAAGATGTTAGCCAGCTGCAGCCTCTACGCTGCTTCTTCCGGTGTTCTGTCAACAGGAAATCCCCTGCAGGACAACCTCTGGGAAACCATGGGAAGCTCTCACACTGATGAAACCCGGTTGTTTCTGAGGCTTCACTGGCAGACCAAGCAAACAGGACATCGCTACAGGATAGTCAGTGTGGCACTGGAAGTGCCCAGGTCAGAAGGGAGTCGGTCATCTGGGCCACCTCCCATATGCCAGGTGTCAATCCTGCCTCTCTGTCCCAGCCTAACCCATTTTTCCTCTTCCTAGTGCAGCAGGAGGGAGAGTGGGGATGTGGAAGGTGGAAGCCTTCACTGGGCAAAAGCCAAGAGGTGGAGGGAACACAGCTCAAATGCAAGCCAATGGAACGTCCATCTGGATCCTGAGCAACTGGAGGGTTAGTCTCAGTCTCAAAGTACCTTCCTTAGTATAAATGTGGGATCTCACAAACCTTAACTGTGCTATGAAATGTTTTTGATTATAATACAGGCTCATTAGAAGACATTCAAAAATAGAAGAAAAAAACCAAAGAATAAAAAAATCACCTGACCACAAAAGCTATCTACTGTTAATATTTTGGTTAATATCTTTGTAGCCATTTATTTCTCAGATGTAAAAAGCTTTGTGTGACTTTCCAGAGGTTGTCATATTATTTTATATTTACATATGTAAATGTATGTATATATATAGTATATTTATTAAATCTTTTTATAATTATGTCAAATAATTTATACTGTTTTAGAACCTTTTTTATCATTTAATAATATGCTGACATTTTCTATTATTTTTCCCGGCTATATGGTATTTCTTTTGTAAGGATATACCATAATTTATTTAATTAATCCTCTGCTGGTGGAACACTAAAGAAAGATTATTTTTAAAGAATGCTACATATTGATGCATTTTTCTAATGGTTTCATTGTAATAAATTCTTAAAAGTGGGTTAAGGGTTTGCAAATATTTCAGTTTTTTTTTAAATGAGTGTTTTCCCTACATTGGCCACAGAGAACAGGTACCAGAATGAGGCTGGCTAAGCAAGTTCATTATCGTTTTCCCCCATGGTCTGGGAAGTGAAGGCACAGTAGAGTAGGCTATTTGGACCATGTTGGATTTTCCTGGGCGAGTCATTGCCTAAAAGTTGATTGGCTCTGAGCTACCAGGTTTCAAGTGCTGAAAATGATGAAGCACAGGTGAGGCTGGGAGGGCTGCTCCACACTCCTGTCCAACTTGCTGGCTAACCTCTGCTTGCAGCAGCCTCTAGACCACTATTCAAGGCCAGGGTCTCCCTAGCCAACTTGCCCCAACTTGCTTTGTACCCTTAGACTGACTTTGCAGTGCAGAGTCATGGGGCTCAGGCAGATGAGTACTTACCAGAACCTAGCTATCCTGCAACTCCCCACATAAACAGAATGATCACGACTTGAATGCCCTGGTAGCCTTAGCCCTGATGTACAGAGCTCTTTCCAAAATGGGCCACTCACCATATCTTCAGGGTCTGGAATTTTCACTCCACTGAAGTACTGATTTGTGCTAAATACTTGCTGGTGCCTAGGAATGAGATCTCCTTTGGACAAGAAGAAAGAGGGGGTAAAATGAGATCAGTTAGCAAGCACTGACTAATGCTTTTCCTCCATCAGAGCTGTGTCTGTCTGCACCTATGCCTATGAAGGCTACAGTTGGCTCTTCTAATCAGGGGGAGAGGCATGTAGGCAGCCCTCAACAACCTATACATACTGTGACCTGTGGTGGATGAAGCCCTGTGTCAGGTAGAGGAGGCAAGCACAGAAAGCTCTTGCCCCTGTAAGGCTCACAGTGCATTGGAGGAATCCAGACCAAACAATTCAGGAGCACACATACCAACAGATAATATAATGCCTTTCTTTTTATAACAAAGTATGACTGCAAATCAAAATCATAAACTGAATCCTGATGGGTGGAGATAAAAGTGTGCTGGTCTACCACTTAGAACAGTGCTGACACACAGCAAACAGTCAACATGTATTTGAGGGAGAAAGGGAGGGAAAGAGGAGAGAGGAAGGAAGGAAGAGGGATGGAAGGAGGGAAGAAAACAAATGATGGAAGATCTTCTAGAAAAGAATATGTTTCCAATCTGGGACTGCATTTTGTTGTTCCACCAAACAGCCATCACTTGGAAATCCCATTTTATCTACTGTTTAGAACCACTTAACAATGTGAAGCAATGAAACAGGAGCATTTCTGTCTCCTGCAGCATTATGTGCAACTCGCACTGCCTACGTTTCAGCCAAATCAGTTAAAATCAACCTCTGTAAAATTCCAGGGGTGATACACTTGAAGAGGAATTTTGTTAGGAGAATATGAAGAGATACTTGGAAGGGTGCTGCTGGGGCAAGCTATGCTCACTCCCAGAGCAGAGTGAGCAACAAAAACCTCCCAACCAGGACCACAGAAATGCTGCCATTGAACTGGGCTGGAGTTCCTACCCCAGGATATCAAATCTAATTTTACCAATTTGTTCTGGAACTTTACCTCTCACTCAAACCCAAAAGCTGCCATCCCACCCCATTTTGGACCAGCAGACAAAATACACTCTCTGGATGCCTTGCCCCATATCTCAGTGAGCTTCCTCATGAGCATCCTGTATCTTGATAACCTTCGTCCATCAGAGAGTTGAAAGTGGGGACATGAAGAGGGTGCCTTAAATCATCAGGAGAAGCACTGCAAAGGAAGGCTGAGTGCCCATGGAAGGGCTCCAAGGTGACTTACATGTCACCCCAAAAAAAGCTATCAGCAAATGTTCATTGCCTACTACGTACAGATGTTGGTAGGATATAAATAGAAATATAAGACATGATCTCACCCTCAAATAGCTTATGGTATCTTTGGGAAGATAAAAATACAAGACATGGTGACAGCAGATGCTACAAGAGTTTAGAGAAGGAAAGCTTGCTTTAAATTGGGATAAACAGGGGACTAGTACTCAAGCCCCTGAGTTTTGAAAAGGGCAATCACTGCTTATAGATCTGCTCATCTGCCCCTCTCCTTTCCTCTTACAGCCCCACCCCAAGAGGAGAAAGAAAGGAAAAAGCATCGGGATGGGAAAGCAAGACAAGAGGAGTGACATAAGAAAGAGCCTTCCTTCCTGATGCTTAGGTTTAGAATCTTCCTCTGTAACATCTGAATAATCCAAACTAGCTTGGCAGGCTGGAGTCAAGGACATCCAAAGAATGAATGACCACATGAAAATAAATGAAATAAAACACAACAGCATTCTGTAAACTGTTAGGACCTTACAGAAATGTAAGCCTTTATTTATACTATGGTCATTATTCAGAGTTTAATTTAACCCAAACTATACTGAAGAGAGACTCTTGTATCTTTGTGGACAATTAGTATATACTCAAAATTGCTCATTCTTTTTATTATTATTTATTTAACAAATGTGGACACTTTACATAGATATTTTGATGGAGTTATTTAAATGAGGCTTTGAGAGTTTCCCTCTTTCATAACTGCAAAGGGCATTTGAGGAGACAAGGGACTCGGCTCTGCCCTGTACTGACCTGGGTGAAACTATCTAGTTTCCTAAAAGGTGAGACAAAGTACTACTTACCCAAGGTTTTCCTAATCAGATAGAGCTGATCCACATCTGACTGTCCTGGCCACAGAGGCACCCCTGACAGCAGCTCAGCAAAGACACAGCCAATTGCCCAAACATCTACTGGAGGGCCATATTGTGTATCCCCCACCAAAAGCTCTGGGGAGCGGTACCACCTGGTAGCCACATAGTCTGTGTAGTAGGCATCTGGTCCAGCTGGCCAGTGACAGGACATGGAAAACAAGAACAGTGGAAGCCTGGAATCAATACTGGGGTGGGTAGTGGGCTAAGAAATCAAGCTTGTGCCCCATCATGTGGCTTTTCTAGATCAGTACTTCTCAGTACTGCTATACATTAAAATCACTTGGAACATGGTATTTGTTAAATGACTACTGCTTGGGCCCCACCTCAGTCCAATTAAACCAGAAATTCTGGGGGAGAGCCTAGAGTTATTAGTATAGTTCTTATAGTTTTAGCTTGTAGTTCCCCCAGAAGATTCTAATCTGCAAAGTTGAAAACCACTCTTCTAAAATAGTACTTCTGAAAAGTACTATTTTAGTAAAAAATAGTAGACACCAGGAGGGTAATTTACTTTTTAGGAAGCACTTTCATGTGGTATGATTCACATGTAGCATAAAGTTTTAAACCACTGTATGTGTCTACATGTTTTTAGTAATTACAGAATTGTGCTTTATAGCAAGCTTATGCCCTAAATATAAAAGAACTAGCTTTCTATAGCATTTAGTTCCTTTATCATATAAAAAAACTTTTCATCTTTTATATTTAAAGAAAACATCAATACTCACTCAAAAGCCGAGCAAACCCAAAGTCACAAAGCTTAATCACTGAATGTTTTGTGATGAGGATATTTTCTGGCTTCACGTCTCTATGTATGCACTAGTCACAAAAATCAAAACAAACAAAAAAAAGATTACTAAGGGGTAACTATATGAGATAAATAAAAGCAAATATTTTGAGAAGTAATTTAAACCTCTCACTGGCTTTTGGGTAATAGGCTGCAAAACAGCACCCTAAAATAAATCTAGCGCCATACCTGTCACAGCCTGAATCATTCCAAATTCCTGAAGGGCCAGAAGGACCAATGAGGGTGAAAGGAAAAATGAAAGTAGGGTAGCCAGATGCACAACAGACACATTTCTTTAGTATGAGTATATCCCCTGCTGTATTTGAGACATACTTCTACTAAAAAGTGATGATTGTTCATCTGAAAATCACATATACCTGGGTGTCTTATATTAAATCTGGTAATCCTAGGTGAAAGGGAAAATGTTAAAGCTTCCCAGTGAGGCCTGCATCACGGTTGCAGAAGCTGCAAGCTGGTGCATCAGCAGAATTCACAATTCAGTTGTTTAAGTGAGAACAGAACATAGGCCGCCTGATAAACAGGACAAGCCCTGGGTCTCCTGAGATAAGCTAGGGAAGAAAAGGGTGGAACCATGAGTTTGCCAAGAGACCTCCCTTCCAGCTCTGACATTTGTCCTGATAAGATAAACAAGAGTAGGCAGCGTTTACCCTCTGGAGACAGTCGCTAGATGTCAGCTCGGTCCCACATCAAGCATTCTTAGTGCGGTATCCACCCCATGGGATGTAGACCCATGCTAGTTTAGACACAAATCACCTGAGTTTCCAGACCACAGCTGACATTGTTTAACAGGGTGATGTTAGAATGGCTAAGACTCTTCACATGATTTTCTTATTGAATAACAATTTTCTTGGCAAAGAACAAATCAACAACCTAATTTACAGTTACCTCAAAACAGTTGGGTCAAAATCTTGTTCAAGTTTCCCAATAATCTTCCCTTCCTCCAAGTGTTTTCCTCTCTGGAGAAGAATGTTGGAGCCTCCTGTAACCCTCTATGGCTTGCAGCTGAAACCCTCAGGGATTCTTTACTTTCTAGACTAGAATTTGGAGAGAGGACAAAGGTTCTTCTTGGTTCTGACCTAGTTTTCATTTCCAAGGACCTTCAGGGTGAGGGATCGGTGTCATTGTTTCCCCTTGGGTATTCATTATTCTGGAAACATTTGGGGGAGATAATTTCCAAATAATTTTATTACAACTTATTTGGCTCTTAGCAGTTAACGGCCCTGAGATCTCCACTCTTTTACCACTGGCTTCACATATTGCTGTAAATGGGTACACCCACGAATATCATGATGACAGATGGGCAGTACTTTAAACAAGAATGTGCTCCTATTCTATTCTGGGAATTCTTTACAAGTTTCTACGCCCTCCCCCAGTCAGTACATGTGACCAAACAGAGCTGCAGCAGCTCCCCAGAGAACTGTGGTATGCAGTATATTTATCTTTAGTGTCTCTGCTTTTCCCCACCAGTGCCTTTATGCAGCCTCTCTTGTTCTTGCATTCTAAAACCTGCCCTCTGAAAGTGCTAACCCTCACTCTGAGTAAATAGCAATATAAGGTGTCCATGCTCCTGGCATGCATGCATTTTGACAAGGATTGTAGCCTTCAGCTACCATCAGCTACAAAGTGGGGAGACTCAGTAGAGAGAAGTGCTGGCTACTTGGAGATTTTCTCCTTCTGGAAAGGCAGCTTCAGGAAAAATCATTTAGAACAGCACAAGGAAAGGGATTCAGCCCTGTTAGCTAAACTGACCCTGGCAGTTGGCAGGATGACATATTACAGTCAAATTGCCTTTGTGGCCAAAATGAAGCTCCAATACTGAATCTGGCTTCTGCAAGCAGGGATGGGCAGTGCTGTTATTGGAGGGAGTGCAGGTTTCCCAGCATCTGTGAAGTCACACCACCTGGGCAGCAGCCTGCTGTGCCTCCCTGCAGGCCTGGTCATGGCCAGAGTGTCGAGGGTTTTCACGGGGCTGCTATGTTCCTGACATGGCACTCATGCCACACCAATGCAGAAACTAGCACTTGGGCATCATGCTTGGGACTCCACCGACTGCAGCTGAAGAGGTGGGAGTCACCTGGGTCCCCTCCCCAGCCTCAGAGCATTGTAAGGCACCAGACCAATAGAGCCTCCCCATGAATGGGATTTTGCCTTAAATCTGAGTAGTTTCTAATCAAAATAAATATGTAATTACTTCATTAAAATCACAAAAATGCATCTTATATTAACCTGAAAGAGAAGAAATGGCTAGGTTGGCATTTTTAGCATCTATTTACTCCAGGCTTAAAGAAGATTTGGATGAAATATTATATCCACAGAGTAGGATATAAACTTTGTACAAAGGCTCTACCTCAGCTTAAGGGCAGCCTTCTGATTTCTCAAGGGAGATCATGAGACTTACGTCATGTTTATGGCAAAAATTTACTGCTTGCAATGTCTGCCAAGTTATGCTCTTCACGAGATATTCTGGTACCCTAATAAAAATAAAGAAGCAACACAAACACATTCTTTAGTGTAGCCATGAAATTCAGCTCAGAAAAAAAAAAAGTAAACCAAGACAGGCTTAAGTAAAAATTAAGGAAAACTCCTAGGTGACACATACAGTCAGCTAAGCCACGGAGCAATCAGTCCATAGGTCCCAAGTGTAAAGAACATGTGATTAGCACACTGCTGGATTCTAGGAACAGCAAGATAAGAACACTGCTAGTATCTACTTCTACAGGGAGAGATCTCAAAACCCACAGGAATTTCAACAAGTATTTATGACCACCGACCAGCTTCAAACATCTGTGACACCATCGGGAACCTGCCAGGCAACCTGAACTCCCTTTCTATAAGGAGCTTTGGTTAATAGAAACTCAGTTAACATAAAGCGTAAAGGACGTTTACTTTTTCAAGCTGCCCCAAACTGATGGCTTTGAAGCAGAACTCACTCTTCGTGTGTTAGCACATTATTTCTCTAGACTCCCCGAAGAGCCTTTTTTTTAAGGTAACGAAGATTTCACGGAAGACAGGGAAGAGGTTTACATTGTATACCAGGTAAAAAAGTTAATGATAATTAAAAACCCATGTGGCCAGCTTGGCTTTTCCCACACTGCTTCTCTCTGGCAGCTAGCTGCACCCTCACATCCTTCTGCCCTGTCCTCTGTCACAGCATCTAAACTTCATGCTACTGTTCTCAGCACTTCCTCCCTGACCCAAAGCTTCTACATACAACCAGGGCAGCCAGTAGCCCCAGCAGGTCCTTTGTGCAAGTCAGAAAAAGGTACCTCCTCTGGGAGCATTTAAAAGAACATATTAGGCATGAATGAAGTGGGCTACAGAGAAAGTACATTTCTTTTCAGAGAACCCCACCCACCAACTGGACACACTGTTTTTATGAATAAAATATTAAATGATATTGTGGCCCACAACCAGAACTAATGAGTAAACCAGGGAGGAAACTCTTGGGTAGTTGTGTTAAGGGGAACAAAAAAAGTCACTTCTAGCCTTGGGGATGGGCGTGGTAGGGCCTACAAGGCCACTGCTGTCACAGACCAGATGTTCAGGAAATCCTTTTAGGCGAAACAGAGGATGCTGTGCCATGTGGAGGAAATGAAGAGGCCACTTCAAGGAAGAAGAGCAGGGACATTTCTGGCCCAGAACCCTGTTCCTGGGCTTGAAGTAGCATCCCTTCAAAGTCTCTTCCTTGTTCTCCTGACATACAGGCACAGACACTAGAAAAACTCACCTGTCTAGAAAAGACCTAGAAGAATACAACCAAGAAGGGGACATTTCAAGAGAAATTCTTTTTCCAGGCTCCACTTTTTATCCAGGAAAAAACTGGAATGCATTTGGATTACTTAATGAATTAAGTATTAACATAAGGTCATCAGTACCAGGCCACTTTAGTCTAGAAGAACATTTCCCAAAAGAAATTATGTCAAAGAAGCATTTAAAAGTAAATTACAATAGCAAATCATTAATGCTCCTCTAAGGCTGAGCACATTATTACAGATTCTCAAATGTAAACACTCTGTACAAACTACCTGGTGTTGTCTTTAGTCAGCTACTTACTTGCTTCTTTTTCAGTCCATTTCTTCTCTGAAATACCAGGCCCTCAGACTCTACTTCTAATAAATAGTTTTTTGTTGATGGTGATAGGAGCCAGGTTTTTCACTGTTGGAGAAGGGAGTTAACAAATATGGAAAGGAAAAAAACCAGAATCTATTTTGTGGTGCTGGATTAGAATTGGATATACACATCTGCACAAAGGATGCTGTGCTCCTTTGGAAGGGCTCTGTCTTCTGTAGGGTACTCCAGAGAGCTTCTGGGCTTAAGACAACATCTGAAGTGGTGGTTAAGGTAGTGAGAAGTGGCTAGACTTGAGCTATATTTTAAAAAGAGTCTTTAGGATTTTCTGAGAGAGTGAATGTGAGAGACAGAGAGGAATCAGAAATGACACCAAGGTTTTAGCTTGAGTAGCTGGTTCACGGTGGGGCCTTATACTGAGGAGAATGCTGGGGAAAGAGCTGGTTTTGAGGAAGGAAAGGTGGATAAGTTGAGATCCTTATTGGGCATCCCAGGGAAGACTGAGGGTAGGCAGTTCTGGATTTAAAAGGAATGTCAGGCTGAAAATGCAAATTTGGGAAGCATAAGCATATTGATGGTATTTAGAGCCATAGAATTGAATGAAGCCTCTTAAAGAGTGAAGAAAGAAAAAGAAGAGAAGGTCAAAATCCTGAGGCCCTACAACATGTAGAGCTCAGGAAGCACAGGGGATCCAGCAAGAGGCGAGCTGAGCACAGAGTGATGACACCCAAGAGAACAAGACAGCGTCACCAAGGCCAACTGAAGGGAGCGTTCCAGGGGACTTCTGGATTAACATGGTGGATTGAAAAAAACACTCAATTCTGTTCTCTCCCCAAACCTGACTATAAACTACACTGAGAGATTTTTTTTTAAAGACAGAAACCCACATGGTCAAAGAGAACAGGAGAAGAGATAATAGCCACATATTTTGGAATGGAAAGCAGGTGGGTGAATGCTAATTGACAACAGCTTTTAGAAAGCTGTAACCTAACCCAGGAGAAGGGGAAGTGGGAGACCAACCAATTTACCCCAAAGAATCCTCAGAAGCCTCAGGAACCAGCAGCCAAGAGCTCTATGTAAGTGGAAGAGAAGGAGCAGTGTGGAAAATCTGTCTGGGAAGCAATTAAACCCCTAGACCCTACCCTATTCTAGTCCAACAGGGAGCACTTTCCCCTGTCTTGTAGAAGGCTGGAGTTTTGTTTTCTGGAGAGGATAAAAGAGGGGATGTTTGATTCAGTTGCTATCATGGATACTGTTCCAAAAACAGGAGATTATGTGATTGTATACAGACTAACTGCTGAATGTTGAGACTCCCCACCCTCTTCCTCACTAGGTTCTGAAAAAACTGGTTGCCTGACTCCACTCTTCAAGGAACATACTGGAAGGTATTTTGGGGAGAAGCTCAAGAAGAAAGATTAAGATTCTGACACTGGGGATCCCATTTAGAAAATGGCCCAGCCAGATAACCCCACAGTGAAGCTCCGAACTTCCAGTAGTTCCCTACCCTTAACCAAGGGCATACACCAGAGGTTACATGACACTCCAGATAAGCCTCAAATAAGAAAGAGGTAAAAACAAACAGAAAAGCAACTTAAAGAAACAGAAACTCTGGAGAGTGAAGAGAGATTTAAAAAAGTTAGTAACCACAGAAAGAAAAGGAACCCTATTAGATCCATGAAGTAAGAACAGGACACTATGCCATCAATAGATGAATGGATAAAGAAGATGTGGTACATATACACACTGAAATATTATTCAGCTATAAAATAAAAGAAATCCTCCCATTTGCAACAACATGGATAGATCTAGAGGGCATTATGCTCAGTGAAATAAGCCTGGCAGAGAAATACCAAATGATTTCACTTATTTGTGGAGTATAAAAACAAAGCACAACAGAAGGAACAAAATAGCAGTAGACTCATAGACATACCGAGAAGGGACTAGTGGTTACTAAAGGGGAGGGGTTGGGGAGGATGGGAAGGTAGGGGGAAGGGGACTAAAGGGCACAATAATTCAGTCACAATATAGGACAGTAGTACAGCATGTAGAATACAGTTAATGATTCTGTAACATTTTACTACGTTGATGGACAGTGACCACACTGAAGGGGGTGAGGACTTGATAATACGGGTCAATGTTGAACGACTGTGTTGTGTATTTGAAATCAACATAAGATTGTGTATCAATCATACTTTAATAAAAAAAAAAAGAACAGAATACTATAAGAAAACAAGAACACCAGTCAGAGTCCAACAACCAGATAACAGAAAGCCCAGAAAAAGAAAATAGAGAAAACAAAGCGTAGGAAATCAATAGCAAAACAGCTTGAAATTTTTTTCTCAGAAAGGGCACACCCCCTGCCAGCATACTGCATGAAAAACAAGGCCCATGATTTTCATACCTCAGAATTCTGTGAACAAAGAGAGGATTCTGCATGCATCCAGAAATGAAAAAGAAACAGGACTCACAAAGGAACAGAAGGTAGGAATGACAACAGACTTCTTAATGGCACTAAAAGAGGAGGCACTTTAAATCGCCTTCAAACATTTTAAGGAATATTATTTTCCACCAAAAACAAACATAGAAACCTATACCCAAACAAAATAATTAATCAAGCATGAGGAGAGAATAAAGACATTTTAAACATGTCAAGGCCAAGGTCTCAATCTCTCCGTCTTATTTATGCTCTCACACGCTCCTCAGGGAGCCTCCAGAGGATGCATTCTCCCCAGAAGGAGGGAACTGTAGACATGACATGAAACAGAGGGACACCTAACGAGAGGGAAGCAACAGGCATCTCCAGGACGGTGAGGGGAGATGACAAGATGATAGCTGTATTCCGGGCAGAGAAAGCGACCACTCCAGATTGGAAGAACATTACTCCAGAGCCAGGCATGTTGGGGGTTGTGATCACCATGCCCTCTGCCTTATACCCTATTAAATTAAGTATGAAAATATTTAACAAACAAAAGCTTTGGAAGAGGCTGGGTGACTGGCAAGACCCTTCGGGCTAAGGTAGATGTTCTTAAAGTGGTAGCTGTGCTGGCAAGGCTAAGAATTCACTCCACGTCACAGTATGTGTTTCCATCCTAGTGGTAAATGCTGGTCATGGCTGAGCTCTGGGACAGAGTTGGAACGGACTGAACAGGGAAAAGGGAAGGGACCCAGTTCTCTCTCACTCTTTACCGCCTTTAAGAGCCCTATTGGGATTCCAGCTCAAAGACAAGCTGTCCATTTAGAGGAATCATGCTTAAGCTCAACCTTAACCTGTAAGGGAAGGTATCTGAGCTTTTCTTCTGCGCCTGGTTTTTCTGCTACACCTAGAGATTAGGCAATTGAACTTTAGACAAACCATATCTCCAGTAAATTGTGCTCGGAAGGAGCTGGACAGGATCCAACCTGAAACTTGTACTGCTAGCCAGCTGGGCAGGTTTGGTGGAATTTGTACTCCTGAAGATGTCCGCTCCCCAGACCTGGGGGTCTAGGCAAGGTATGAGAAAACTGAGCAAGGACACTCCCTTTATTCTCTGTCCCAAAGCAGAAGGGGTAGTCAGGGTAGTCTTCATCCCAGGGTAGTCAGGGGTCCTCCCTGGGGCCTTCAGCTGCCTCTCTGAGAGCAATAGTATGTTCCTCTGGAGCCCACTGGCCTGTCGCTTGGCTCAGCAGAGGCACTCCTGAGTCCTCCACCAGCATGGCCTCCCAGCATTCTTCCTGTCTGCTTTGGGGATTTGCTTTGCCAGGAACATAAAGGGTTCACAACTGATTGACTCCAAGGAGGGTTGAGATTTGGGGGAGGGGCATCACTAGAAATGTCTGTAGTCTAGATTTGTGTGTAACTGTACCATCTTTTTAATTGGAGATGGGTGTGCTTGGCCAAAATAAGCAAGTAAACTCAGAAATAGGAAGACAGGAGGTCCAGGAAGTAATGAATCCAACCTTAGAGAAATGCAGAGGGAATTCTAAGGAAGAGAGCAAAGGGAAGTCCCAGGAAGACAGGTGGACAACAGGCTTTGAGTATAAGATAGACGGATGGCAGATGGGGGTCTAAAAGCAAGATGTCATCAAGAGAGAAATGGAACTAATGGATTACCTGATGTGATGATCCTGTGAAAAAAGTATACTGAGAGGCTATTAAAAAGAGTGGGCAAAGTTACAATAGAGTTAAAGATTATCAAGCACATTTAAAAAGTAAGGCTATGGGATAAATGTAAGTTTTCACCCAGCATTTCCTACCTGGACTTAGCCTATTTCCATAGCAATGGGCCATCGTAGGGCTGCTACCACAGGCATTCTCTCCTCCCCGCCACTTCCTGGTAGATAATTGGTCTGGTGCCCATCAGTCACCAGGGGCCCACCCATGGAGTTCCTTCCAGAAGGGGCAGGTGGGGCAAGTGAGCAGCGCACCTCAGCCACAGGCCCTGACAGGGAGCTGTCTTGCGGAGCCAAGTTTGAGGGGGCAGAAAGCACTCAGAGAAAGACAAGCTGTGAGCAATAAAACCTTTCCTCCCCCACCTGGCCTTTCCTTGTCTTCTTTTGGTTTCATCAGATTTATATGGAACTTACCCCAGGCAGGGAACCCCCTTACTCCTGGAGCAACAAAGGCAAATTTAATTTGTGGAAAAGCTACAAAAAGAAACCCTAGTCTGGTAAAATACTCACCTATCAGTACTATTCACATAGGCATAATAATGGGAACAGTGAATACTGATTTAATAAAATTTTAACATAACTATTTTGGGAGATTAGAAAGGAAAAAAAGAAGGGACAATGGTTTAAGGCAGCAAAATCCTCACCTATTATAAAAGAAAGTCTATAGATAATGTCTAAAACTGGTAAAACAAGAAACAGCAGTATATCACTCTTTTGATACTATATTACATCCTGTGCTTGGTTTGCTGATAACTTTGCTGCGTTAATGAGGGATGTTCATCTGTCGTCTTCTTTTCCTGAAATGTCCTTGTCTAGTTTTGGTAACAGGGCATAGAGGCCTCATAAAATTATTTGAGAAATGTTTCCTCCTCCTGTATTTTCTGAAAGAGTTTGTATAGGATTGTTATCATTTCTTCCTGATATGTCTGATGGAGTTCATTCATCAAATATTTTAACAATAGAACCCAAGGTAGCATAACTATAAAAATATATAAATCCACCTCACTGGTGGTAAGGTAAATTTATTCAGTTTGACAAATCCTGACTCAACAACCTCATTTTGAGATTATTTCTCAAATGAGAAACCTCATATATATGATTATTATCTCATATATGTGTGTATAAATAATATAAATATAAAACAGTGCCATGTTGTATGGCAAACTGGTGGAAAATAGGGCTGTGCAGAAGAGAGAGGTATTGTGTCCCATGCTAGGACCATGTCAGTAAGCTTTGGGGAACTCTAAAGGATTTTATGTAGGAGGAATGGCATGATCCACTTGGTATTTTAGAAATCTGTACTAAGAAATATAATAAGTGATCACAGGACATTCTTAGGGTAAACCTAAGGTGTAAATCTAAGAAGGACCCACACTAGCCCCAGGTAGGGAAAGCACAGCCTTAACACACTATTCTTCACTGATACTGTCTAACAGATCAAATATGCAACTAAAGGAGAACTGCAGTCTTCTGACATCTAGGGAACTGGATCATCAATTCAGAGTTAGAGAGCTGGAAGTCCCTTAAATGTCACCTAGTATCATACTCTCATTTTCACAAATGTCCTCACACCTGTGAGCAACTTGCTGGCAGTCACACAGATGATGCTGACTCACTTTTACTGGGAATGCTTAAATGTTTTATTTTATAGTATGAGATCACTAAATTGAAAAAAAAGGTTTCCTATGAATTTCAAAATCTTTGGTTGACACAATTTAATGACACTTACTCCTTAATGATAATAAACAAAAGTTTGGAAATGAAGTTACTTGTACATAACCACACACGTATCTACTGGTCTTTCCCTTCTCTAACCTACCTCTGTACTGAAGCATTTTCTATTTCCTGGAACATACATATTTTGGCCAGTAGAGTTTAAAATAATCTGCTTTCAAAACTCTAATCATTTCCCATGTCCTTTTTTCTTTCTGTTCAAACTATATGCCAAAAAATAACTAACTCCCAGTTATTTTCAACCCCCCATGTGTTCAACCCATAATCATTGTTTCCAGGTGACTCAATCTAACATGATTAGTCAAACTCCTGGCAACATCTCCCTAGCACCATGAGGAACTTATACTAGTAAGTTTAATTGAAGTGTCACTTGCAAGCTGTCAAAAGAGCAAATATCAACATACCAATTCTTTTGTTCCTTGAACACATTTCTCTGCCTCAATGACTTTCTGAATGGAGGTGTCTGTTCTCTTGGCTCTCTGGCTGTGTAAACTGGCATGAAAACCTATGCATGGTCACCAACAGACCACGAGCAACTTTAATCTCATTTGCCTGAAGGTTATGGCAGACCATACATAATTACCAAGATGTGGCAGAGCATGGTCTTGGCCAACCCTTGAAAGAATTGTTCTAAGAGCCTCAGCCTCCAGCCACCAGAGTGAAAGTGAGCCAGGATGAGACACCATTCCACCACTCTGAGCTGCAAGGCACTGTGCACTGTCCCTAGTCAATGTTGGGCTCCCCTAAACAGAATAAAAGGAGACAATGGGTTCCTTGCTCGCTTCTTAAAATCTCACCTTTCAACTTAAAGGCCACCTCCTCTAGGAAGTCTGCTTTGACTGACCCATTTTGAATCTTATCTCTCAGGGCTTTCAAATCATTCTACTCTCTCCTTCTGGCACAGTGACTGGCTCCAGAGATAATTGCATCACTGAAGTTGAGCCAATTTAATTTCTCCTGCTATCAACAGATATGATAGATACATTCCACAGATGATAAACAGGACTTTATATGCAGATGATACCTTCTTCTAGAACTTTCTTTCTTCTAGAATGGCTACATAGGTTGATAAAAGCCTGTGGCATGCTTCCTATTTCATATTTTTCCCTTCCTAATTCTTTCTGTTCCATGCCACACACATACCCTCCAAAATCCACCTTATAAAGGATATGCAACCTCGAGGCATGATGAAGCCAACACAGTGAAGAGTTGTAAGTAAGGAGGAGGGGGCAGGGGGGAAGCCACCACCTCTGCCACTCTGCCTGAAGTCACCCAGCTGAGGAATGGGTGTTCTGCTCACCCTGGCAAGGTGCCACCTCAACCAGAGGAGAGAACCCCCTGCTTTTCAAACAGAGGCCCTGTCTGCTCACCAATCCTTCTTTTAATGCACATGCTAGAACCAGATATGTGACAAGATCAGCAGAGCCCCCAGAATCACCCCCATCCCTCCCAGTTTACAGCCATCCCACATTCCTTTTCCACCTATGCTTGCTTGCTTCAGTTGTGCTTTGTCACTTGCAACTAAAGAAGTCCTGACTAATACCAGACTGCTTCAGATGAAACACCACGTTGGCTTTAGCCTTAAGCTTCCTATTTACCATCATCTTTGGACTCTCCATTTCAATCTGCAAGCCTATAGACTTCCCTAGTCAGACACAGAATAATATTCTTCCTTTTCTTTGCATAGATAGCGTAACAAAGAAATCAAGTTCAAGCTGATAATGCTGTTGCCTTCTCCCCGAGAATGAGTAGTCATAATCCCTTTCCTCACGTTCTTGGTAACTGCTCCACTGCCAACCCCAGCCGCAGAGGTGCTGTCCAAACACTCGCTGTCTTGCCTAATCTGAAGAAGGGTCATTGCTGATTCTTCCTCCCAAATTCTGGTGAGTTGTTGTGTTTTGTTTGTAAGAGATGGACCACTCACCCTCTCTGGTATCTGTCCAGCTCATGGAGGACCGTGTGGGCACAGTACTCGAACACCAGGTGAAGCCTCCGCTTTCTCCTGAAGACTTCAATAAGGTTGACAAGGTTGGGGTGCTTGAGTTGCTGGAAACAAAAAAAGCAAAGGTGCTGAAGTGGGCTGTGAACCCAGCTTTCTCTGATTTGATACAATAAAAAGAAAGCTGTTCATCCTCTAAGATGGTTCTGGCCTTGGACTGAAGGAGGCTGTACACAGTATTATCTTACTTGTCTTTATAAGCTGTTTGTTAGCAGCTTGTAAGTGCAAAGTGATTATAACCCATCTGGTCAGTGAAGACAAAGAGAGATTTGAGGAGGCTGGAAAAGAAAGGACAGTGACAAAGAGGTGGTGAGTTTTAGCTAATACAAACCCATTTTTTAAGGTTCAGATCAAATGTCCCCTCCTAAAGAGGTTGCTCCTGATGTCCCCTGACTGGTTCAGTGTCCCTGTATGTCTTGTCACCCCCCCTGAAGTATATCTCCTTTGGAATCCTTCAGAAATGCTATATGATTGTTCAATCAATTATTTAATTTCTCCTGCTATCAATAGATATGATAGATACATTCCAAGACAATAAGAACCATGACATCAGGGTCTGTGTCCTCCTTTACTCAAAATGATGTTACCATACCCCGAGCACGGGGCCTTGCACATAATAGGCATTCAATAATGATTTGTCAATGAAAGAGCAAACATGTTTCCTAGTCTGATAGTACATTGTAAAACAGAAAAATAAGGAAGACTAGAATCAGACGTGTCTGAAGGTGTGTATCCAGAAAGAAAGGGCAGGCATAAATGCTGGTGTTGGCAGAGATAAACCTCATACTTAGCTTTCTGGTCCCTTCTGTCCATAATCCTACCAGAAACACTACAACTAAGCAAACTAATCACTGTGAAGAGAGCAAAGTGGTTAACTTTCTTCAGGCTGCGAAGGCCTCCAGGCACGCGGTGTGAGGGAGAAAGAGAGGAAGCATGACGCTTCTTAAAGCCAAGTCTCAGAGCTGAAGTGACACTGCTTCTGCCTCATTCTCGGGGTCAGAGCAAGTCCCAAGACCCACCCTGATTTAGCGTGGAAGAAGCCCAGGATGAAATAAGAACCACAGGAGAGAGGCCCCCAGTCGACCCCCCACCTAAATTCAGCTGCATGAGTGGACCCAGGCGACACCAGCCATGGGAACATTCAGCCTTGAAGACAAAGAGAGATTTGAGGAGGCTGGAAAAGAAAGGACAGTGACAAAGAGGTGGTGAGTTTTAGCTAATACAAACCCATTTTTTAAGGTTCAGATCAAATGTCCCCTCCTAAAGAGGTTGCTCCTGATGTCCCCTGACTGGTTCAGTGTCCCTGTATGTCTTGTCACCCCCCCTGAAGTATATCTCCTTTGGAATCCTTCAGAAATGCTATATGATTGTTCAATCAATTATTTAATTTCTCCTGCTATCAATAGATATGATAGATACATTCCAAGACAATAAGAACCATGACATCAGGGTCTGTGTCCTCCTTTACTCAAAATGATGTTACCATACCCCGAGCACGGGGCCTTGCACATAATAGGCATTCAATAATGATTTGTCAATGAAAGAGCAAACATGTTTCCTAGTCTGATAGTACATTGTAAAACAGAAAAATAAGGAAGACTAGAATCAGACGTGTCTGAAGGTGTGTATCCAGAAAGAAAGGGCAGGCATAAATGCTGGTGTTGGCAGAGATAAACCTCATACTTAGCTTTCTGGTCCCTTCTGTCCATAATCCTACCAGAAACACTACAACTAAGCAAACTAATCACTGTGAAGAGAGCAAAGTGGTTAACTTTCTTCAGGCTGCGAAGGCCTCCAGGCACGCGGTGTGAGGGAGAAAGAGAGGAAGCATGACGCTTCTTAAAGCCAAGTCTCAGAGCTGAAGTGACACTGCTTCTGCCTCATTCTCGGGGTCAGAGCAAGTCCCAAGACCCACCCTGATTTAGCGTGGAAGAAGCCCAGGATGAAATAAGAACCACAGGAGAGAGGCCCCCAGTCGACCCCCCACCTAAATTCAGCTGCATGAGTGGACCCAGGCGACACCAGCCATGGGAACATTCAGCCAGGCCACAGAATTGTGAGAAAGGGGAAATTCCTGTTTTCAGCTACCAAATTTTGGGGAGGTTGGTCATGTATCAATAGATAACCCTAGAACCACTGGGAGAGCTTTTAAAAACTACAAATACCTGGCCTATCCCCAGAGATCCTGAATTGGTCTTTGGTGGTGGGGAGCACAGGGGTTGGGGAGGGCAGGCATGTGGTTTTTCCCAAAATTCGCCAAGTGACTGAATATAGAGCCAGAAGAATCATCACAGGCTGGTGGATACTTCATAAATGATAAAAGGCGGAAGGAGGGAAACTGAAGTCCTTGACTGCCCTCAAGTCCTTGAACTTCATGCTACAGCACATTGTATGGACAGCGAGACGAGAAGCAGCCAGCAAGAATACTAAAGAAGACAGTTCGCATTTTCTTTGTAAAATTCCTCTGTATCCTCAAGGTATGAAATTCCTCCTCCAGACATTACACTTGATTAAACAAACATAAAATAGCCAAAATATTGTAAAGCCCATTATGTGACTACGTTTGGGCACTCCAAGCTATAAAACACCACATACATGTTATTGTACCTGGAAACTTTTAGCCTGAGCTAACATTTTCCAGGCATAGCAGGACAGAACTCACTACTGTCTTACACTAAAGCACTGCATTGGCTCAGTGCCTCAAATGGAAACCCAGAAATTCAGTTCAAAGGGGCTAAAAAGCAGCATTCTGACAGACTTAGTGGAAAGCAGAGGTTTTCTTTCAGACTCTGTGTAGGTCCGGGGAAAGGAAATCCCAGGGCAAAATACCCCTAAAAACTAAAATCAGTCAAAGGGAGAAATAAAGTTTAAAACTTGTTTATTGCTCACAAACTGCAGTCTCAGGCCGTCTTTCTTCTCTGCTTACCCACACTCTGAAAAATCATTGTTCATGGGCCCAGACTTTGAATCTTAAGAGTCTTTCAATTTTCCATGTCCCTTATATAGTCCTCACTTACATCTGTAACTCTGGAGGGAAAATATTTTCCCAGCCTGGGGCCAAATTCCTTTGAAACCAAAATTAAAGGGAGAAATAAAGTGGGAAAAACCCATTTATTGCTTACAAGCAGTCGTCCACTTCTGCTCACCTGTGTCTCTTACAACCCTACTGCAAAAAGTGGCCCCACCCAACCTCTCTGGTTCAGATATGCTCTCCCTCCCCCTTGTAATTACCTATTGATATGGAGACGGACTACTTCTCTATACCTTTGGGAAATACCTATTGGTATGGAGATGTACTAAGGCCAGGCAAGAGATTCCGGAAATATTGCAATTTTACCCATAACATCTCTAGCCAACTTTTTTCACAAAAATACAAATATATCAGTTCTACCAAAACAAATACCTGGACCTTCTCTGGATGCCAAGTCTGGTGCCTTCAACTTGTCATGCACACACCTGCAGGGCACCACTACCTCAGAATAAAACCCAGAGGTCCTCTCAGTTTGAACTCTGCTTCTCTCCAGCCTCTTAGAACTCCCCTAAGACAAGCTGGATTTCTCTCCCTTCCTTGGAGGTTGGCACTCCTGCTCATCTCAGGACCTATCCGCCTGGTTCTCCTGAAGCGCTCCCACCCTGTAGATGTTGCTTTCTCTGTCTGGCCTCTCCTGCCCCACTGNACCCATATCCTCTTGGCACCATTGGAATCAACAGGTCCTCAACCTATGGTTACAGGGAACCTTCATTGATTTCCAACCTGAAGAAGTCCACATCTACTCATCCTTACTGTGGGGAGTCCTGTCAACCCTTTCCTCCCAATCCTCAAACCCTCACTCCCTTCTCCGCCCCTGTTCAGCAGGAAGCAGTCAGAAAGAAAGCAACGCCCACAAACCCATAGAGGAGAAAGGGGGGAATGAAGGCTCCCCACCAGTAAGATGGCGAACTTCCGGCTTCTTTTCGGGGTCCTCGGTTCCCGCCGGCGCCACCTGAAGCCCAATCACCTCTCGCCCCCCTCCCAATCCCAGCACCTGGCCAACAGCCACCAGCCCCGTAGAAGTAACACCACAATCACCCTATGCCCCATCCTATATATCCCAGCACCTTTCCCTAATAAAGCGGAACTCTCCGGTAAATTGCTGTTGTGTGTCGCTCCTTTCCTTTCAGGATACACAGACAAATTAAGCAAGTCCTGCTCTACTCCCATAGAGCTTACAGTCTATGGGGGCAGACAGATGTTGAAAAGTAAGTATAGATACAGTAAAGGTTACAGCAAGGGCCTCCCATGTACAGGAGATTTGGCTGCTTCAGAGAAACCATCCCCAAGGAAGTGGCCTCGAGCTGAGGCCTGGAGAGTGAGAGGGATCTGCCCAGACCAAGGGCAGGGGTGGCAGTGGAGGGATCGGGGCTTTCCAGGCAGAGTGACTGGCCCTGTGCCAGGAGGAAGCCCAGGCCACTTAAGGAACTGAAAGAGTGTGTCTTGAGGGTCAAGGGCATGGAACAGGGGTCAGTAAGGTGAGTCCTGCAGGACCTTGCAGGCCACGATAAGAAATTTACACTTTATCCTAAGTACAGTGGGAAGCTACTAGAAGAATATGATATGATACCATTAGGGTTTTTAAAAGCTCACTATTGCAGCAGCATCCAGAATGGGTTGGAGGAGGCAATATGGGGAGAGAAGACCAGTGAAGGGCCTGTTGAGATGATGGCGGCTTGGACCAGGGCAGAGGCAGGGAGATGGCGAGAAAGGCAGAGTGTGGAGACATATTTAGTTACTAGAAAAGTCAGGCTGTGGGGATGGACTGGAGGTGAGGGGTGAGGGAGAGGGAGGTGTTAAGAATGACCAAAGGTTTGTACAATGGGGCAGACGGGGGTGCCGTCCCTGGGTGGAGGAGCAGGTCTGGGAGGGAAACTGCTGTTTTTGGCATGTTGGCTTGGCAGGGCCTCTGAGATATCAAAGTGACCTGTCAGGCTGGCAAGAATTTGAACTGAAGATGAAAACTGAGGCGTCAGCATGAGTGTAGGTGAAGCTGTGGAGTGATGTGATTGCCCA